TAATTTGTTCTTTAGTTTGATGTCAGTGACCCATATAAATCGAGTCTGTTGTATTGTTGTTAGGATAAAAATCATCTGTTCAAGTGGACAGATGTTTCTATCGTCGAAGAGGTTGAACGCTTTCGACCTGAACTTGAAGCATTGAAAGTAGAAGCCGCTGGATTTGAGAAGGAGATTGGAGAGTTAAAAGCTGATGTCTGTTCCTGCAAAAATGAGATTGAGAAGCTTAATGCAGTCATGAGTTCCATTAAGAATGTGATGATTAGTGGATTGGTAATGGGTGTGATCGTGTTTTACATTTTCCATTAGGATTATCTGTAGTGTTTTTTGCATTTTCCATAACGATTATGTGTTGTTTTAGTCTTTGGCATTGTCGTGTTTGAGCCACAGTTTGTGTATTGATAATGAGAACACAACTCTTTGTCATTATCATGGTTTAGGTTCGACAATGTATTGAACTGTTGTTCAAATTTGTTTCACTGTGCAAAATTCTCGTTCTAGAACAAAAAGAAAATCAAAAATCAGCGTAGAAGCAATAACAAGAGTCTCAAAATCCAATCAATATCATTCTCAGAACTAGAGTTTTGAAAGTAAAAGCAATAATATGAGTATCAAAATCCAAAAAACCAACAGAAAAGCCATAAACACTGGCTTTGAAAAGCAATAGTATGATCCCAAAAAACAAAGAAAACGATAGTCTGATCCCAGAAAACTAGAAAAGAACACCACAACAAGAGTTTCATCAAAGAAAAAACAAATTCCATAATACCAGCATTCTTCTCCACCAGCTCGAAGAACACCTAATGAACACCACCTTCACTCTCCTTAAAACACTGCAAACACATCTCCAAGCTCTATGCGATAATCAAAAGCTTACACCACTTCAAAACTCACTTCTCCAAGCCCTAAGTGATGATCGCTCTATTACTTTGTTTCGACGAAGAAGAAGAGAATAAGAAAGGTTGTGTCGCGGGATAGAATGTGTTTTCGCCAAGTTAAGGAACAGATGACGTCGTTTTCACGTTTTTTCCAAAAAAATAGAGAGACCTTAAACGACGACGTCACTTACGTGGCCGCCACGTAGATCACGGCTTGACAGAAAACTTAACAGAGTTATGTTGGGAATTGGTTTTAGCACAGAGCATAAAGATGGAGCACGAAATTCAAATTATACCAAAGATTAAGAATGCCTTTCAAATGTTAACAGAGTTCAAGTATGATAAAGCACAGTACGTAATGTTTAAGTATGTTTTAACTAGAAAAATAGTTCAAGTCTAACTTTAACACTTTTCACAAGTTTAGGTCTGAATTGACCAATTTTTCACCAAGAGTCTAATCTAATACACAAGAAAAAAGACGAAAGATGCCTCTTAAAACATCTCCAAGAGATACTTCATAACTTCAATTGCTTCATAACAAACTTGTGACGTGCATTTAGTGTGATCACTTAGCTTTTTGCTAGCTCGAGCCTTTTAAATGGCTTTAGAATGTTTTTCTGGTTAAATGTTAAAGTTTATATACCAAAATTTTTGATTAACTTTTTTCAGACGATACAGAGATACAACAAAGAAAGCAGAAAACTGAAATCTACAACGGACGAAAACCGACAAAAAACAACAGAAACACAAATAAGGACAAGGAACCGGAAGTGAGACAAAGAAAATAAAACCGAAGCAAAACAAAACGAGAAAGCAGCAATCACGTGCCAAAGCATGGACCATCACGTCATTGCCTCAGCTCAAAGAACTAGAGTTCACATCATAGTTGCCACGAGCATCTTTCTGAGGCGTCCTCCAACCACCAGAAGGAGATACCTACAGCTTCTCCGAGAACTGATGCGATTTCCGAAATGCGTAACGGACTAGATTGCAACTGGTGACAAGAGAGTCCAAGCAGTAACCAGAGAAGTCACTTCCGACCACCATTCCGTAGAAACAGAAGTCTCCATAGGGACCAACCTCCACAGTTGCAACCTAACCGGACAACAGACCGGCACCTCTACAATACACGTCTCGAGACACTCCACCATCTACACCGAACTATAGAGTCGGAGCCCTAACGAACCAAGATGAAGACCAATCTGCGAAGCTTCTGAAACATGTCGAGAACAAGAACACACACCAACCGTGAAACCCGAGCCACAACAGTAAGAAGACGGCACCAGAGCTTCTCTGACGAAACCGAGAGAAACTGCTGTTGAGCCACCCACCTACATCCACCGCCGAGAGACACTGCTGATGGAGCCGTGCATGACAGAAAAGACGAGATCACCACTCCAAGGCTAGCCACAAGCAAAACACCTCCTGCGACACCATAGCCAGAGATTGAACCCGTCCTCGAGGTCCAAATCGCCACCGCCGGAGCCGATGAGAGCAGATCCAACATCACCACCACAGCTCCGCCTAGGGAATACCTCTATATGCAAAACAAGGCGGAGAGGGACTTTGAACAGGGAGAGACAAGCAACACCACTGAGGAAAGTCGGAGAGCACATCGCCGGCTACGAGAACTCTCAAAGAAAGCCGGTGGAGATGATGTCAGGGTGTGTGGGGTGTGCGGTGTGTCAAGTTTTACCCTAATGAAATAAATAAGCCGCAAGTGCACAGCTGATCGATTGTAGTATTTAGGGATCGAATCTACAGGGAATGAGGTTCTTTTCTGCAAAAGCCTTTGAAAGAAATATAAAATAAGGAAGTTTAGAACCAAACGATATTTTAAAGGATTTTGGTGGTGTTTTTAAAACGTAAAAACTAATCTAAACGGGAAAATACGAAAATCAAAATGACCTAATAATCAAACCTAATAAATTTAAATAAAAATGAGAAAAACAACTAGACCTAAATTTTTTGAATAAAATCGGATGGAATGAAGAAAATACTAGACCTAAAACTTAATAAAATCGCTGGAAAACTTATAGAAATGAGATGCTGGGTTTTCAGGGAAATTCTCTTCGGGGATGAACGATTCAAAACATTTATAAAAAGTAAATTAAAATATCCTAGCTAAAACTTTTATAACTTGAGTCACGACCGTATGAATACGCCACTGTCGTGATCTTAACCAACTATTTCTCGCAACTCTGACCAGTAGGTTTCCACTCTGGCCCTGGAAGGGAAAGATGCAAGCTTGCTTAAGACTCGTCAACATTCACAATTCACCCATAGGTAAGTTTACACTCCTATAGTTGATCTGCTCTTCTCTAACTAGATCCGGCCCCGGATGAATACTTTTGCAACACCAAGGACCTAGATCAGATTATAGTTCATGACGCTACTCCCATGCATTAAAAATAAGTTTAGAAGAAAAATTTATAGGATTCGGCTTCAATAGCTAATGGAATCCTCATCGAACATGTATAGCCCCCATCGAAAATCCCTTAAACCAAACAATAAAACTATTCAGACATGATTAAAGAAAACAAAAACATTGTATTGAAAAGCTGTATTGAAATCGATATGGTAAAAGGAACAAAAATGGTTCAAGAAATATATCTCTATCTCCCTAGACCTAAAACTAAGAAAATGAAGACAAAAACTTAAAAGCTGCTAAAAGAGAAATTACATATCGTTTAGGGCTCATAAAACATGTATTTATAATGTTCAAGTCATTTATGGGCGTCACTTAGGGTTTGTCCAAATGAAGGAATCGTCTTGGGCTTGAAAATGGGCTTCTAGACCGGACAGACCAATCTCTACGGTCGGGAAGGACGGGACTGGTGCAAATTGGGTGTTGGTCACGGGTAGGAATGCTTTCCGGCTGGTTTACGGGACATCTTGCTCTTTACGTAACTTTTGATTGAACCGTTAGATTGCCATGCTGTAAAGTGTGTTGGAAAGCTGGTAGTTTCATTCTTAAGGTCTCCAAATTTGAACTGGATCAGACAGTGAGAATGTCTTCATTTGAGGGTGAATTTATGACGGTTTGACTCTGAGCTGAAAATCTGATTTTCTATCCATTTTGTTAAGTTTTTTCTTTAAAAGTCTTGAAACTATAAGTACTAGAAAAACATGATAAAACCATTTTAAAGCAATAGAAAACATAGAAAAAATATTTCAAAATGATTCATAAAATGGTCAAAATATGGTGTTATTAGGAGACCGTTGGAGGAAAAGCCGGAGAGCACCAAAGAGAAATAAAACGCCAGCAAAGAACGAGGCAGACGGAGGAGACGAACATCACCACAAGGAGACAGCCTTCCACCACTGCAACCCAGCAACACCGCTGAGGCTCCGCCTCCGTCGATTCATGCCGGAGAACTTCACTTCGACACTACAACTGAGCCGACGACCAAACACAACTGTAAGCCTACCAAAAGAAAGAAGAGGTCATCATGGTCCCTCCTCTCACGACGTTGAGCCACCAAATGCGCCGGAGAGAGAGATCGGAGGTGAAATTTAATGTCGGTAAGGAGAAAAAAACTGGATCTGGAAATCGCCACTAAGAGGCTTTTTATGTAAACACAATTTGATTAGCCCCCATTACTGAACTCATGGCTTAGAATGTTTACCACAGTTTCAAGCTCATTTCACGTTTGAATCTTGAAGTGAATAATCCGAGAACTTTACCTCAAAAACTCTCCACCAAGAACTTTGGATTTATAACTTTCCTTGCTCGTTATGCCATCAACGCGATGTCACGAACTGATTCCTCAAAAATGGGTCCTGACAGCGAGCTCCGGTTCAATATATACTCAAAAATGCATAGTTCATCATTTGAGATTGTCTTTGTCAAAATGTCAGCCATTTTCCTCAAATACTTTTTTCATTGGCACATCTTATCTTGAACTATGTCTCAGATTAAACGGAAGCCTGGCATCAATATGATTTGTCCTCTAGTGGAAGTCACTGTTTTTGGCTAGTCAAGTCACACTTTGACTATCAAAAAGCAACAAGATGTTGCAAAACATATGCACAACAAAAGACGGACATTCATTTAGCGAAAACGTTAATAAATCCACCAATGTTTCATCGAATATTTACCACCCAAAAATAAAATATTTATTTAAAAAGTTATACCATTAAGCATTAAAAACATGTAAAAAAAAGTAGCAGAGAAAAAAGAGGAGTTTTATTGCAAATAAAAAAATGATTTAAAGGTGAACTAGAAGGACAACGGGATCAATTGGCATTTTCCAAATCCAAAGTGCTACTTTACTCGAGGTAAATCCACCACCGCAATTTTTCCAGGTTGAGTGAACTTCTTTTCGAGTTGCTCCACTTTGTTGAATCTAAAACCTCTGATTCTGATTTCCTCTGGAACCGATGTGTCTTTGTAATCTACATTTTCCATGGTCCAACCATCATTCCTGATCAAACCTCCCAGGTGTACCTGTTTTTCACATGTCAGCATAAATCTTCATATGTTGTATGATAATCCAAGAGATAAACAAAAATGAACTACATACCTCTGCATCATCAACAGAATCTATAATAAGGGCACCGTCCAAGCAGAGATCTTCAATAAGTACATTACGACCCAAGATAGCCATCGTGGATCTCTGAGAGACCTCGCAGTGCCCACAGACTTTTGTTTTGATATCAGAGAAGATCATTCCCCATTTTGGTTTCCATGTGATACGAGGCCATACTTCAACTTCTTGGCCGTTCAAGACCTGCTTCACAGGCTCTTCCACTTTCACACCAGCCTGTGGAATTAGTAAAACCAAAGATAGAGGGAAATGAGAGACTGTATAAACCATCATGGAGAAGATTGTTTATAATTATTTGGCTCAAACCGGCTATACTAGAATCAAGTGTCCCTAAAGGCATATGTAAAACAGAGGTCAATACAATAAATTACCTTTTGAAGAATAAGGCTGTTAGCACGATAAATCGCCATTTCTCCAGAGGTTGCACTATGATATGGGTTTCCCTTTGGTACCTTCAGCAGATAGGGAAACACATTAGTAAGCCATTTGATATTTGATTGCAGTTTTAAGTAAATCTAACATTTATTTGATTATTAAGCATCTAACCTTAGCAGCATCCTCGGGATTATTCTTGACGGGTGCATAGGCAAGCCATATATCCATCACCTAGATGAGGAAACATTGTCACAACAAGCATGCATAATCAAACTACTGTTTTACTCTACAGATAGCCGCTATTACCGTGAATCCAACACGTGCTGTTGGTGGCAATGTCTTTGGATAATCTTGCATCATACACTCTAGACGAGTTGAAGACTTAAATGACGTCTTGGTGCTATCCTTGTATCTTATTATATAATTGAGAAAGTAGATGTCAGAGTAGAGAATCAGATTTTATGTCTATAACTACTATTGATCAAGACAATGATAGCTTAAAGCAGAAGAACAAGGGGAGAAAAAGAAGAGTTACTTTGGATTAACAAACTCCTTAATGGCCCCTCCAGTTTTTTGCAACTCTTCTTTGTATGGTCCAAGTTCCAAAATCAACTGCATTTGAAAAAACATAAACAAAATATTAAGAGACTTGAAATCTTCCTGATCAGAGACAAAAGTATAAGACAACTCACTTGATTAATATTTCCAGGGAAAGGGGAATAGCCTGTCTCGCAATTAACATCCCCATCGGGGAATCCAGATGCTCTAAGTAGAGGATCAAGTTGATTGTACTCCACATTGATCACCATAGATCTGCCTGAAAACCATTTGAATCAACATCGGTTATAAACCGGAAATATAAACTGTGTATAGAAACTGTGGATTCTTTCTGTTCACTTAATTTACCATCAGCGTGGGTAAGTTTAGTAATTCCTCCAATAGCTTCTTTAGCCTTGCGAGGAACAGCGAGAGAGTTAACATGATACTGTTTGGTAGCACTCACACCCAAAGAAGCTGGAATTGCCTGGACCATGGAAATATAAATTTCAAAACAAAGTTGTATGAATAGTTAACACAAAGAGTTGAGTAGTGCTACTAACATTGAAGAGAAGTCCATTTGTATCTTGGAAAAACAAAACCCATTTTAAACCAGCATCAAGCCTGAAAATTGCAACAAATCAGAAAAAGAAAGGAAGAGGAATAGTTGGCAATATTTAAAATAAAAAATAAAAAATCTGATAGAGAAATACCATTTATCAAGAAGACCACTCGAATAAAGTAGCGAATGTACATCACCGTGTCCATGTGGTTTTGTCTATGCATAGCCAAGAAGACAACAGTCAGCTTGCAAATACACTAATGTTGGAAACATTAACACTAGACATATCGTTATATGGTACCTGGATCTTGTATTTGTTGTGAGGGTCTAATGCAAGCCTGGCATCATTATCATCAAGACATGCAACTTTTTCCTAAGAAAATAGATAGCAGTGCACTTTTTTTAAAGACTTTTTACGCTTGAACAAGACTCTATTCAGGGCTCTCAGTAGCTGATCATTTACCTGTTTAAGAAGATGTACTTGAGTAGGTTTCATCCCAAAATAAGAGTTCGACTTTAAGAGCTCTTGTGTACGTGAATGTGTATCATCAGATGTCATGATAATGAAAGGAATCTCTCTTTGACTTCCATCTGCAAAATGTACAATTACGATTAGTACGAAGAGATTCGAAAAAAGTATTTGTTTTTGTCACTTATGTCGACAGTAATATTCCCAATATCCTGTAGCCAAAAACATACCAGAAGCGACCTTGTGGCTAGCTTCTTGAAGAGCCAATATAGATTCAATGTAGTGTTGCAAGAAACATGTCCCTGTAGTTGTCTCCCTTGGAAGTGCCACCTAGGAAATGGATTCATAAGTTGGTCAAATAAGTCTGGAAGTATATTCCCAAACAGCAAGTCAATGTTTATGTTCATCAGTTTCACAAGTTGTAAAATAACTCCTCTCAAGTTTCAAATATTCTATCAATGGATAGTGATTTAAGTCAATGAAACTTTGGTCACTATTTACCTTGATTCCGTTGTACCAGACGCTCGCCAAGCCCACCAGCAACAAGAACAAAAGCAGCTTTGCTAGCTTCGGCGACACCTCGTTTTTCCATTTCGATGAAGTTCTCATCACCAAAAGTAAGATTTTCTCCTGAAGGGACCTGCAAAACCACATGAACCTTATAACTCTAGACACAGCAAAACAATAAAGCTTTGAAATCATAACCAAAAAAAAAAGATCTAGTAACTTACAGAAGGAGAGAAACCATCATAAGGGTTCTTCCCTACTTTTGAATCGGCGAGGAGCTCTTTGGCAGTCTTAATGTATGCTGCTAACCGCCAGGATAGCTTGATTCAGGCGAGAAATCTAAGAAGCAATACTTTCATTATATATCGTATGAGAGAAAGAGAATTACGAAATTTCAACCAAATAAGAAAAATAACAAAAACCTGTTCGAAAAAACTTAGTTTCTCTTTGTCACAGACACCAGGTTCAGGCCAATGCAGGAAAAGATGACTCTGACCATTCTCCAACAAGATCTTCGCCAATTCGATCTGCCACAAAAACCAGATCACACGCAGCAATAAGAATCAACAATGGAATAACAAGATAACAAAGTCCTGACACAAACAGGTCACAAAATGCGTAGATACAAACCTGATCAGGAGACAAGATTCCAAGGTTGCTCTGGAGAGCTGGAGCGGATGAGAAGAAATCGGAGACGACGCTAGAATCCATAGTTGAAGCCATGAAAGACAGGAACAAAGGAACAAAGGAAGCTGTTTCTGTAGAATTATTTAAAGTATAACAAAAATAAAAAAAACAGAGGAAAAGTAGACAAACCGAAACAAGGATCAAAACGAATAAAACAAAAGGATTTGTAAGTTTTTAAAGTTGTAATAAGAATGGAATTAGAATGCTAGCAAAATAAAACAAAAGATCACATATGATTTCAAACTCATTCTGAATCTAGCGTAAGCACACAAAGTCACAAACACATTCTCTCACATAAGCACACAACCCCATTATGTCACAGAGTACACCAGAAGATCAAAGAAGAGACAGAACAGAGAATGTAAAAGAGATAAGACAGGTTGCACAAACACGAAGATCAGTTTCCTAAACAGAAAAAAAATTTTCACAGAATGAAAGGCAAAGGGATCGATCTCTATACAATCAGAGATCAGTAACAGACAAACCCAAACCACGAAATTCCATGGACAAGGAAACAAAAAATAAATCAAATCCAGAAGAAATTGACGACAAAGAAACGAACTTACAAGAAACCAATATGGATAGAGATTGAGAGGAATCCCAATTCAAAGAAGCTGTGCAAAAGAAACCCTAAGAAACCGGAGGAGGGTAAGCGATGACGGAGGAGATCTTGAGACCGGAACGTTAACTAAACACAAAGCCACGAAAACTCATAAACTCAATTGGCTCATAGAGCCGGAGATTTGCAAGAGCAAGGGAGGGAGATAGAGAAAGAGGAAACCAAAAAAAAAAACAGGTAGGAGTATCTGTAAATTTTTAACCTGCGTAAATTGTTTTTTTTCCTCACGGTTTGCCTTTTTTTTTTTCTGAAACCAACATTCTGTAATCCTGTTTAATGTTTATACTTTTTAGGTAAGAAGTCACGATAACGAACAGACGGAGAGAGAAAAATCGACCAGAGATCGACCAGACTTTGGTTGAATTAGATTTGGTCTACAAAATCGATTTTCGGTTTATCCAGTTGATTTTGCTTAGATAGGTTAAATTCGGTTGATATCTTTGATTTTGGTTTGGTTAAAAAAAAATTGATGGGTTAATGAAAAACTAATCAAATCCTTTATAACATAATCCATTTTGAATTTAATCTATTTAACACATCCCATTTGATCAAAATCTATTTGACTATTCATTTGACTCATTAAAGGTTAAAATTGATGAGTCTGATTGAAATCCATATAGTTTAAAATTACGAGCTTTGATTGGTAACTTACGGAAAGCACAATTTTACAAGCATAAGCATATTGTCAATTAACAAAAAACTGCATAATACAAAAAATAAACATAAAAATACAGTTTACATTTTAGGTTAAACTAAGTGGAATATGTGTCAAGCGCACACTTGCGATGTATATAAAACTAATTATAATATTTTTTATAATGGTAAAAAGTTTATATTTTATATAAATATTTAATATTTTAAAGAGTGTTTGTTGTTATTGTGATCTGTATCGTTAATAAACCCATAAAAATTTTAATAGTTGGATAATGATATTTTTGAAAAAACTCACTTTATCAACTGTGACCATTATCGTTATGTACATCAATATTTGCTGATGTACAACATTCAAATACCGCAGATCTTTAAGTTGCAGTTTGTTTCAATGTGTATTTTTTAAATACCGTTATAGTTTTGTACACGATTTCCTTTATGTTTAATAAAAGTATCAACTCTCGACAATCAAGACAATCATTAATGGAAAAAGAGAAAGAATTTTAATTCCAAAGCTTAAGTAAACAAAGTGTAATGAAAAAACAAACCATTCATTTAGTAAAGATTTAAAACAAAATAAATAAAATAAATTATTGTTTTCTTATATTCTAAAAGATGATCTCGTATACAACGTTTAAAGTATTGGTTTGTGGCTTACCCATATTATCCGTTATCAGAATCTTCAAACCAACTCTCGAAGCAACACGTGATATAGCCACATAAAATTGTCCATGGAAAAATATGGATATTGGTAAATACAATCCAACCTTTTGCAAAGTCTGTCATTGGCTTTTATTGATACTCATTGCATAGGCGATGGCTACAGAGAATTCTCTATGCCTCATTCTAAAAGAAAACTTTGTCTTGGTGGAGGAAACATACATTCATGGGATTAAGATATTTTGACCAATATACTCACCAGTTATGCGCAAGGCGCAGACACAAGAGTTTTAAAGTAGTCTTCAAGAAAATTAAAACATAATTTGATGTTATAAACTGGTCTTCAAGAATATTAAAATGTACAACATAATTTGATGTTATAAACTGGTGTTCAAAAAATTAAAACAACTATTCAAGACAGACATGATAAAATAAAACAAATCCAAAAAATAAACACTATCCAAAATTAAAGACCTAAATGCTTACCAAATAAGTCTATGAAATTCACAAAACCAATTGAACTAAGAAAAAAAATGAGTTTTTCGTCTCCACATAATCGTTTTTCATCATTTTATTTTTTCCTCTTATTTATCTTTTGGTTTTTCTTTTTTATCGTCTTTTTCTTATCTTTCTTCATAATCTTCCACCTTTATATCTCCCTCTTCTCTCACGTATTCTTAGTTTCCTTTTATTTTCTTTTATATCTTCTATATTCTATATGTCTTTACTTACTTCTTATTCTTTAGGTTTTTTTTATCACGTCTTCTTCTTCTTCGTGTTTTCCACATCTTATCCTCATCTTCTTCCTTTTCTACTTCTTCTTCTTCTTCTTCTTCATCGCCTTCGTCTTCTTTGCTCTCTCTAACCATATATATTTTTCTTGTTTTCCTTAGTCGTTTATATCAGTCAAATATATGTACCTGAAAACTTTAAATCTCTCTTCCCCTCCATCTGTCCCTTCCTATCATTATCTCTCTCTCTCTCCCCTCCCTCTGTTTCAGTATTTCTTTCTCACTCTTTCCCTTCATCCTTCGTCCTAAGTTGTATATATCATATGATTTAGATAACTACATTTAAAGTAAGAAGTGTTTCGGATATAAAAAATAGGAACATAGAAAAGACGAACTAACATAGATTTAATGTCATGTACTTGGATTGTTTAACTCTCTCTTTCCCCTTTATCTTACTATTTCTCTCTATTTCTCTCACTCACTGTCTCTCTCACCAAAGTATTAACTCAATTTTTTTGCTCTATCTCTCTCTCTCTGTCTCTCTCTTTCTCTCTCTCCAAATTAATCATCATCTTCCCATTTTTATTTTTCAATATTTTCGTCTTGTTATAATTTTTCTTATTATGATTTTTATTTTTCTTCTTCTTCGTCTTATTCCTTATGTTTTCTTTCCTCTTCTTTATCATCTTCCACTTCTATTTCAATTCCCTTTTCAGATTTATCTCCATCTTCTTGCTCTTTTTATTTTATTA